AAAGCAACAGCTGCACCAATAGAGGAAGAAACAACGGCTGCATCAGCTGAGGAAGCATCAACAGCTGCACCAACAGAGGAGGAAACAACAGCTGAACCAACTGAAGAAGTATCAACAGCTGCACCAACAGAGGAGGAAACAACGGCTGCACCAACTGAGGAAGCATCCACAGCTGCACCAACAGAGGAGGATACAACGGCTGCACCAACTGAGGAAGAAACAACTGCTGCCCCATCTGGGAAAGTAACAGCTGCACCAACGGAGGAGGAAACAACGGCTGCACAAACTGCGAAAGCATCAACAGCTGCACCAACAGAGGAAGAAACAACAGCTGCACCAACTGAGGAAGAAACAACTGCTGCCCCATCTGGGAAAGCAACAGCTGCACCAATAGAGGAAGAAACAACGGCTGCATCAGCTGAGGAACCATCAACAGCTGCACCAACAGAGGAGGAAATAACGGCTGCACCAACTGAGGAAAAAACAACTGCCGCCCCATCTGAGAAAGCAACAGCTGCATCAACAGAGGAGGAAACAACAACTGCACCAACTGAGGAAGCAACAACAGCTGCACCAATAGAGGAGGAAACAACAGCTGCACCAACTGAGGAAGAAACAACCCCTGCTCTATCTGAGGAGCCAACAACAGCTGCAGCAAATGAGGAGGAAACGACAGCTGCCCAAAAAGAGAAAAAAACAAGCGCTGCAACAACTGAGGAAGCAACAACAGCTGCACCAACAAAGGAAGAAATAACGGCTGCACCAACTGAGGAAGCATCAACACCTGCACCAATAGAGGAGGAAAGAACGGCTGCACCGACGGAAGAAGAAACAACTGCTGCCCCATCTGAGAAAGCAACAGCTGCTGCAACAGAGGAAGAAACAACCGCTGCCCCACCTGAGGAAGCAACAACAGCTGCACCAACTGAGGAAGAAACAACAGTTCCCTCAACTGAAGGAAAAACAACAGCTGCACCAACTGAGGACAAAACAACGTCTGCACAAAGCGGGAAAGAAACAAGTGCTGCACCAACTCTGAAAGAAACAACGGCTGCCTCAACTGAGGAAGAAACAACAGCTGAAGCAACTGAGGAAGCAACAAAAGCTGTACCAACTAAGGAAGTAACCACAGCTACATCATTTGAGGAAGCATCCACATTTTCACCAACTGAACGAGTAACAACATCATCTACTGATGAAGAACAAACAACAGGTGCTCCTACTGACAAAGAGACTACAGCTGACGATATAACAACAGCTGTATTTAAAACTACTGAAAAAGCAACAACGGCTGCATTTACTGAAGAACAAACAACAACTACATCTACCGTAAAGCAAACAACTCCTGCACCAAGTAAGGAGATCAAAAAGACTACAGCAAGCAAAGAACAAACAATTGCTGCCTCAACAAGGAAAGCAACGACATCTCCACCTACAGATAAAGTAGCAACTGATGATGAAGCAATAACAATTAGAACTACTAGCAAGGCAACACGTATTGCATCAACATCAGCTATCCAAACTACAGGAGCAATATTGGCCGTTATAACTGTTCCTCCTCCCGATGTATCAGGCCAGGAACTGGCTTCGACAGCCAAGCCAAGTACTTTAGTGCAAGAAACCACAGAGGTAACGAAAAAAGCAGCTTCAACCACTAAGAAAGTAATAACAGCTGCACCTATTGATGAAACAACCTCAGTCAAAGCTACTGGAGGTGCAATAACAGAAACACCTACTAAGGAAGTAACTACAGTTGCACCAACCGAGGAAGTAATAACAGCAGGACCTCCTGAGAGAGTAACAACAGTTGCACCTATTGAGGAGAAAACAACAGTAGCATCTACCAAGGAAAGAACAACAGTTGTAACTACTGGGGAGATAACAACGGCTGCACCTACTGAGAAAGTATCAACAAGAGCACCAACTCAGGGAATGACAAGTGCTGTGGCAACTGAGGAAATAACAGCTGAACCTGTGATGGAGACAAGCACGCCTTCCCCTACTGAGGAAGCAAAAACGCCTTCGGCAACTGAGGAAGCAACAACGGGTGAACTTATTAAGGAAATAACGACAGTTGGACCTACTGAGAAAGAAACAACGGCTACAACAACTGAGGAAGCAACAACAGCTGCACCTACCAAGGAAAGAAAAACAACTGTGCCAGCTGAGGGAACAACAACAATAGGTGTAACTGAGAAGGTAACAACGGCTGAACGTGTTGCGGAGACAACTGAAGCTGCACCAACTGAGAAACAAACAACGACTGCACCAACCATGGCAGAAACAACAGCTGCACCAACCGAAGAAATAACAACGGCTGCATCAACCGAGGAAAAAACAACAGCTGCACTAACTGAGGAACAAACAACAGTTACTATGACTGACGAACAAACAACAGCTGCACCAACCGAGGAAGAAACAACACCTGCACCAACTGAAGAACTAACAACACCCGCACCTTCTCAAAAAGTAACAACGGCCGTATCAACTGAGGAAATAACAAAAACCGCAATAACTGAGAAACTAACAACGGCTGCACCAACTAAAAAACAAACAACATTAGAACCAACTGAAGACCAAACGACGGCTTCACCAACTGAAAAAGAAACAACGGCGGCACTAACACAAGAAATAACAACAGCTGCACCAAGTGAGGAGGAAACAACAGCCGCACCAACTGAAGACCAAACAACAGCTTCACCAACTGAAAAAAAAACAACGGCGGAACCAACTGAAGAAGGTACAACGGCGGCACCGACTGGGGAGGAAACAACAGTTGCACCAACTGAGAAACAAACAACGCTAGCACCAACTGAAGAAGGTACAACGGCGGGACCAACAAAAGAAGGTACAACGGCTACACCAACTGGGGAGGAAATAAAAGCTGTACCAACTAAAGAACAAACAACAGCTTCACCATCTGCAAAAGAAACAACAGCAGCACCAACCGAGGAACAAACAACACTTGCACCAACAGAAAAAGAAACAACAACAACACCAACTAGGGAACAAACAACAGCTGTACCAACTGAGGGAGAAACAACAGTTGCACCGACTGAAAGACAAACAACGGCGGCAGCAACTGAAGATATAACAACAGCTGCCCCAACTGAGAAACAAACAACAGCTACACCAACTGAAGACCAAACAACAGTCTCACCAACTGAAAAAGAAACAACAGTGGCACTAACTGAAAAAGAAACGGTGGAACCAACTGAAGAATTGACATCAGTTGCACCAACTGAGGAAGAAACAACAGTTGCGCCAACTGAAAAACAAACAACGGCGACACCAACTAAAGAAATAACAACAGTCGCGCCAACTGAGGAAGAAACAACAGCTGCAACAACTGAAAAAGAAACAACGGCGGAACCAACTGAAGAAATTACAACAGTTGCACCAACTGAGGAACAAACAACGCCTGCACCAACTGAAGAAGGAACAACGGCGGCATCAAGTGAGGAAGAAACAACAGCTGCACCAACTGAAGACCAAACTACTGCTTCACCAACTGAAAGAGAAACAACGGCGGCACCAACTAAGGAACAAACAACACTTGCACCAACTGACGAAAAAACAACTGCAGCACCAACTAAGGAAGAAACAACAGTTTCACCGACTGAAAAACAAACAACGGCGGCAGCAATTGAGGAAGTAACAACAGCTGCAACAACTGAAGACCAAACAACAGCTTCACCAACTGATAAAGAATCAACAGCGGCACCAACTGAGGAAGAAACAACAGTCTCACCAACTGAAAAACAAACAACAAAGGCAGAAACAGAAGAAAAAACAACCGTTGCACCAACTGAGGAAGAAACAACAGCTGCACCAACCGAGGACCAAACAACAGCTTTACCAACTGAGCAAACGACAGCTGCACCAACTGAGGAAGATACATCGGCTGCACCAACAGAGGAGGAAACCACGGCTGCACCAACTGAGAAGGAAACACCAATTGCACCAACTGAGGAGCAAACGACAGCTGCACCAACTGAGGAAGATACAATGGCCGCACCAATTGAGGAGGAAACAACAGTTGCACCAAGTGTTGACCAAACAACAGCTTCACCGGCTGAAAAAGAAACAACGACGGCACCAACTAAGGAAGAAACAACAGCTGCACCGACTAAGGAAGAAACCACGGCTACAGCAACTGAGGAAGAAACGACAGCTACATCAACTGAGGAAGATACAACGGCCGCACCAATTGAGGAGGAAACAACAGCTGCACCAAGTGAGGAACAAACAACAGCTGCACCAACAGAGGAGGAAACAACGGCTGCACCAACTGAAGACCAAACAACAGCTTCACCGGCTGAAAAAGAAACAACAACGGCACCAACTAAGGAGGAAACAACAGCTACACCGACTGAGGAAGATACAACGGCTGCACCAACTGAGGAGGAAACCACAGTTGCACCAAGTGAGGAACAAACAACAGCTGCACCAACAGAGGAGGAAATAACGGCTACACCAACTGAAGACCAAACAACATTTTCACCGACTGAAAAAGAAACAACGACGGCACCAACTAAGGAGGAAACAACAGCTGCACCGACTAAGGAAGAAACCACGGCTGTAGCAACTGAGGAAGAAACGACGGCTGCGCCAACTGAGGAACAAACAACACCTGTAGTAACAGAGGAAGAAACAACGGCCGCACCAACTGAAGACCAAACAACAGCCTCACCAACTAAAAAAGAAACAACGACGGCACCAACTAAGGAGGAAACAACAGCTGCACCAACTAAGGAACAAACCACGGCTGCAGCAACTGAGGAAGAAACGACAGCTACACCAACTGCGGAAGAAACAACGGCTGCACCAACTAAGGAAGAAACAACAGCTACACCAACTGAGGAAAAAACAACAGCTTCACTAACCACTGTCAGTACCACAAAAAGTGTTTCTTCGCCAAAGCCAACTGTGGATATCACAGACAGTCATGGAGCTGAGAATGGAAATGGTATTGAGAATGGTAATGGCACAGCTGTAATCGGCAGAGGTGAACAGGGTGGTAAGTATTATATTTGTGTATAATTAGTTTAACAAGGGTAAGACTTGATAATCTCTTAGAGGGGTTAAGAAAGGTATATGATATACCTCAATGTTATAAGCAATGGTAGCCAAAGGTCATGTTCTATCATATCATGCTTAAATCTCCACGCAAAAACTTCTAAAGAATGAAAACCTACTTCGTAATCCCCAAATGTATTTATCACTTTTGAAGGCAACAAAACAGATAACGGAACAGAGCAATGTAAGGGGACTATGTGCGAGGATGGAAAGATGTGCCGCATTGTCGAAAATAAATCACCCGAATGTTACTGTCCAACTGAATGCAATGACGATCCCGATCCCCACTGCTCTGTGTTTCTGGAAGATTATCACAACCTGTGCGAGGTTCATCGCCACGCCTGTAGGATGCAGATCAACGTTGCTGTGAGGCACCGTGGACGATGTGAAGGTATTCGATTAATCCAACATTAATAGTATAATTCTACTTTCCGATTGAGTAATTTTGACTGAATTCGTTCTGTGATTGGTCAGTGCTAACGGTTAACCGATATTCACATGGTGGTTCACTTTTTCTCGCACTTCACGCACTTTTTTGTTTAAAGGAGATAATCATTAGCTTCGTGTTTTATTTCTTCTTTAGTATGGTTGTTATCATGTCAATTTTAATTTTGGCGATCCAACTCTCAATCGAGATTTGCACAAAAATACAAGCAGCGTTTATCCTATTTTCTGTACCGGACGTGAAGCACACGGCTCGGGACAAATTAAGGAATCAACAACCGCTAAACCAAAATAGAGAAGTCTCGTTGACCTTACTGTTAGGCGCAATGCAGTTAACATTATTTGTCACTCTTTGCATAGACTTTGACTAGACGTACCAATCAAAATGACCCTCGGTATATAGGATTGGAAAAGCCTTCCAAAGAGGAATACGTTTTACCTGTAATCAACTACAGTTGTACAAACCTGGTACATATTTTATTTTTACCATTTTCAGCGTATGCAAAGGGTCAGCAGATCTCAAAACTGGTCGACGAGTCCTTCGTTCCAATCAATGAATGTACCGAGGAAGAACTTCTACAGTTTGCAGAACGCTTCCTAGAATGGGCAATGATAAATAAAGAAATTTATGACAGTGATGATCCAGCATCCCTTGATCTTGAAGGTCTTGTCAACCAGGCAAGGCTGCTTGGATTTACATCGTTAGAGAAAACAGAAATATTGACGGTAAGAATAGAATCGAGCTCAGATGAATGTAAATTGTTCGCGCTCTATGTATTTTGACCATTGTGTTACGCATTGGCGGGTTAGGCTTTAGACTCAGTTGAAAACTACCCTGTATATGCCTTTGGTAGTCTCCGTGTTGAAGTAATTTATGTCATTTATGCAACGATTTTTTTTTTCTGAACCATTCTTCGATTATCAGAATGTTAATCATGTGTGCACCTCCCCTAGTTCCAATTTGACGACATCGATTCAAACGGAGATGGCTTTCTAGATAAAGGTGAAGTTGATGCTATGATGGCGCATATTCCTCACGAGGAATGCCTGTTTGGGTTCATGATTTCGTCTGACTTGGACGGGGATCACAAGCTTAACAAAAAGGAATGGTTTGACTCCTTCAAGTATGTTGGTAAGTATTTTTGTAAATCAAGGATCACACAGCTAAACCCGTAACCTCTTTAGTGGACAGTCCCCCTAAAACTTAACTAGACAACTAGTCAGTTGCACGCAAATTAACAACTGATTCATACGTCAGTGTGCGTATATCATTGCATGAAGTTTGTACCAAGTTTGGAGATGACAAAAAGCGCGTAACACACAGCTGATGTTGAACGACTTTTTATAAGGTTAGGGTAATATTGTTAAAGAATAAATTCGTTGCGTTCGCTCAAAATTTAGCGAGTACAACGAGAGTATAAAGTACGCTCGCGCATTTGATTCTGGGCTCACAAATTTACTAACTCTGTTATAGAGAGGTAGTTTGGGTGGAACAACGCACTTGACCAATTCAAAACTGTACGGTTCATAAGACTCAAAATCTTTTTTAAATTTAAAGAACCGTTTTTCTTTTTTTTCAGAAAATGCAGTAGAAGAAGACGAAGAAATAGACAGCTAACTTATTATAATTAATAACAATAATGATAATAATAATAACTAATTAATAACACAACCAACTATCGCTCAGCGCTTTACAATGCTTTAGTTCGTTGCAACATGAACGTTACCACGGCAGGCGAGGAAAGTTCGAAATGTTAGCGAGTAATGACGAAAGTCACGTCTGTATATTTCTCTCGATGAAAATGTTTAGAGTAACAGGTTTGGTTAAAATGGAGCTTTCTATAAGTGTTCAGCTCGGTGAAATGTCAAAGCAACTCTTCCTCTGCCGTTATGTTTGGATTGTGAGTAGATATCTAAAGTTTAAAACGATAACTGTTTCATTCAATTTCTTTTATCCCTAAGTTACGTTATATTTTTAAACTAAGCACAGTAACTACGACTTTATAGTACTTCATAATATAAATAGAATTTGCGATGCTTTTTCTAATGGCTTTTTAGGATTATGCTGTAATCATTTTTGGACTGATGAGTCAGGATACAAGCATATGTCAAATAATTCCAATGGCCAGTGAATCTATTTTAAATTTTTATAGTTGATGTTTTGTCTCTCATCACTCAATCAGGAAGCGCTGGCCTGACATGCAATGCTACTCCCCTTCCCCCCCCCCCCTCCCTCCCTCAGCCTTCAAAACACTGTCAGGCCAGTTGGTTCTCTTTGAGAGCTTTTGTGTATTAAAAATGAAGCTGTGATTATTTTATGGTGCAGAAGCCTTAGAAATGAGGTGTGCTCATATCTTCACAGTATCTGTACCTTAAGGAAGAAGCACCAAGCTCTTAGTTGGTTACCACAAAGAAATATGCAAAAAAGTTCTTGAGATGAAATACTTTAAATTACAAGGATAGATTTGAGAATGATTCCATTTCAGTGAATTCAAATCTTCTGGACAAATATTAATTATTAAGTAGGAGCTGTCGCAATTTAAGGAAGCATGGGAGATATAATATTTATATCTCATGTGCATGATATTATTTTTCTCTTTTGTGAAAGAGGTCTAGTGATGGCAGTCTCATAATACACATTCTGCTGTTTTGGCAGTATGCCTGGACCTCAAAATCCAGGATATTAAAATGTTGTTACTGGATGTGGATTTTGAATAGCCATTGTTTATTTCATACAGTTTTAAAAATGAGTATACATTAGATAATGTTACTGAATAGGGAATACTACCCTCAAACACAATAGACCTGATTCAATATTTCCGCTCCTAGTAATGAAGCAAAGAAAATTTGGTGTTTTCCTGGATAGATAACACCCTCTAGCTGATGTGCTTGTTTTATTGCAAATCATTTTGTGGGATAAAAGATATTTTTATAAGGAGAAGTAAGATTTGTCAATCAAGTATGGGACTTGAAGAGGTGGGGAACTTTAAGGCCATGGAGTTAAAGCCTTTGTGTCCCCCCTGAACACTTTATAGGGATTTGAAAGCTGAATCAGGAGGATAGTAGGTGGCCGCAATGTTCCAGAAGCAACTAGTATCTTTGATGGTAGTTCTTTTGGAAGCTTGTTCTAAAATAAAGTGTCTAGCTTAAATTAAAAAACACCAGGTGTGCCTGCATTCAAAACCGAATTTTGTGGTGTAATATTAATATGCCTTTGACACCTGGTTTCATAGCTGCTTTTCTTTTGTTCTGTTAAACTCATTAAACCATGCTGTAGCCATTGAGTTGATATGACCATGTGATTTTTAGAGGAATATATTAGGAAAATTTTCTATATCAATAGAGGAAAGCTACTTGAATAGACTATATTTCAAAGGCACTCCTAGTGTGAAAAATGTAGTACCAGTAGTAATTTTCAGGACCAATTATTGACTTAAAATTTAGCCTCCTAACCCTGATTGGATGGCAGGAAAATAGTGAAAACAAATTTAGTTTTGCCTTGCAAATATCTTTGTGCTATTTAAGAACCACCTTAAGCAGAAAAGTGAATAAAATTGTCAATTATGCTACAACTGAGATTTGTCATCAGGGAAAGGGGGGTGGGGGAGAATGAAAAAGAAGAGAAAATTGGGAAAACAGAGATTCTGGTGTTTAATGTTATGGAATGGGGAGGGGGGGGGTAGGTTAAGATTTGAAAGGTCTGGTGGAAAAAGGTAAACTGGGAAAATTTGACAACTTGGTTTAACAAGGCCAAGTTGATGATGCATGATCATCAACTATTCTAATGTAAGCTATATCTATACCAGTCAGCCGGTATAGATATAGCTTATATTTGTCTAAACATTTTATGAGCCTGGAGGGAAGGCATAAACAAACTAAGGGAATGGGATATGTTTTGCACAGCCTCGCCCAATCAAATCTCATCCCAATCACCAAATCACCTAAATCTCTTAATGCTCTATGTCAAGAAATGTCAAGTTACAGGAACGCTACCAATAGCTTTTATCTGCAGCTAACAGGATTTTAACAATTCATACTAGTTTACGAAAAAAGAAAAATAAGATTTGGTATCACTGCGTAAGGCCTTGGAATTACGGGGAGAAGACATATATCTCAAGACTTCCCACTCACTTCCCCTGGCTCAAGAACTATAAAAGAGTAATTTTGCTAGTTGTTAAACCAACTATCATTCTTTACTGACTCACTCAATCTTTCTGCACTTTTATTTTAAAACAACCAAAAACGTCATCCGTGCGCTCGAAAGCTTGCATCTGATAAATTGAAGAGGTCACGATAAGTCCCCTTAAACCCCCTCCCCTCCCCTGCTCGCTGGCAAGATTTCCGTACAGCCCAATACCTCCCTACGCAGACAGGATAAAGAAAACAATGGCGTAAGCAATCGATCGTTTGGGAATGTGTCTTGGTTTTAGAATAGTATGATGTTAGATGTCTCCGGGACATGCTGGCCAAGTCCTATTCAGTATTATTGGCAACACACGGAAGATTAATATGCCTTGTCGAAAACCGCACGTGATACTAAGCTTGAAAACAAGAGTGTGTTATCAACCCAAGATGTCTAGGAAATAATCCACTCTCGCGTGAGAAGCTTTTAGTTTAAATACCAGACGTTTACATTACTGATAAGCAAAAAACTCGTTAATTTAGTGGATAATCTCTTTACCTCGTTCAAGCGCCGCGTAATGAAGCGCGATTTGCTCCTGACTTGTCTAGTTTTTGTTAGATTTTTGGAAATGTTTGTTGAGGAAAAACTACAGTGGCCCACAACTGTCGTGGCAATCCTAAAGAGCTCACGGCTAAACCAAAAGGCTTTTGGTTTTGCCGTGAGCTTTTCGGTTTTGTCGTAACAGTTGTGGGCCAAAACACAAACCGTGGAAAAAACCCCTTGCGACCTGCCTACTTGTTGGTGCGTAAATTATGTTTCATGAAGCCTTAAGAGAGAGAAGGAAGTGAAAAACGATTCTCTAAAACGACTCTTCGTGAGGCCAAATGAAAACTGGTATTTCTCGATAAAAAAAAAAAATTAAAAAGAAATCTCAGTGACCCCGACGTGACTTGAACACGCAGCCTTCTGATCTGGAGTCAGACGCGCTACCATTGCGCCACGGAGTCCCACGCGATAAGTAGGGGTGAAATTTATATATTTAAACTCATTAAAATGATACAATATTTATATGGTTTGTCCATTTTCCACTATCAACTAACGTTTGATCCAGTTATGGGTAACTTGTTTTCGTTTGTATTAACTCGTAATATTCGGGGGAAAAGTGTATTTTGCGACTATTTAAAATTACTTTCGACAACCACCAGCTGCAGGTGGACACGAATTGAAATCTGAATAAATTTTCCATTTACAAACGAAAACAAAAATGTTCGCGAAATGCAAAGTAATTAGGGATGCACTAACTGGTTATAGCCATGATATCAGCTAATATTCACTATCTCAATTATTTATCAACATATTTTTACTTTCCGTGAACAGAACAAAGAAGATGAAAATGTCATAGCAACAGGTTTTTAGGTTTTGATCTTCTGGCAAGCTTGAATCGCTATTAGAACAGGTTTCATATTTTGGTTCTTTGTTTAGCTCAATAGAAAGAGAGAAAATAAATTAAATTCTTGTGGCGAACACTTGGTGTCATTTAAATGATGGTTTGTTTGCCAGACATCAAAAAGCCCATAACATGTCATTAAGAAAACATCGGTGTAGTAATAATAAAACGAGCCATTTACCTAACATTGTGTTACCGCTCGTTAAATATGCATAGATCTTGTTGTTACCCGTTTTTGTGGCGTCTCTCAAGCTTCCTTTTCTTGGCAAATTTTCAACCAAACGAAAAGACAGAGGAATAGGGGCAAAGCTTGAAGGCCAAGGCGGTGTTTGTTATCGCCGAGCAGAATTCTACCGCTCCACTGCAAGTCTTCTCCGTCGAAACCAATCACGATCGTTCGCAGGTTGCCTTCTCACCTGGTGGGAAAATATTATTCATCAAATTCTTTCATCTGAGTATCGTTCCCTGGAGGCAGCACAAATTAGTGGTCTGAGCAAAGGAGTTCTCTGCACAAACAGAAAATATTACTCACCTTGGTGTATTACGTGCGTGTCAAGTTCCTGGGAAAAAATCTTTCAAGCGAGAATTTAAAACTGCAGATAAAAGTTCCTTTGAAGGAATTGGTTTTTGCTTTCTCAAAAACCGGAAACAAATGTAGAGTCGTCGATGGAGTGAAATCAATTCGATATTTTTATTATTTTTCAAGGAACTGCGCGCATTGAAATACAAACCGAACGTGTGTTCGCAGCGCTAAAGGAATATCAAACAACATTTAGCCTTCTAACAAATTTTTAACACAGTATTGCAATTTCTACACGGCAGTAAAACTTAAAACTAGGAATGAGTTACTACCAGCAACCTTCGTTTCAACCGCCACATTACTACCCGGCCAACGACAGCGGAATTCCCTTCCAAAGGGAATTCCCCCCGCCGAATACAGAAGTCTACACGAGCCAGCCATACCAGGCATATCCAATGGTTGCGCCACAAACTACTGTATTCATCTATGAAGATCAACCGGTCTTTCGTCAAAGAGATGATGGTCTTTTCGCCGCTCTGTGTGCAGCATGTCTGTGTTGTTGGCTGCTTCCTCCATTGACATGGCATTGACGTTGGTGATATCAAGGGATAACGGTTCAAGCGAATTACAAACTAAGATAAAGAAGTTTGGCCGTTTGATTTAAATTTTTTGGGGTTCCCTGTGAATCTGACGGTCGCATTCAAACGACTGAACTGCACGAAAATGGTACGGTTAGCTGAAATGGACAAAATTATAAAGCTAAAAGATAAAGCTGACGGTATGCAGTGAAAAGCAGAGAAAGACTGTGTCCATGCAAACGAAATTAACGAGAGCAACACTTTTATTCTGCAAGTACAAATCTCTTTCCAAAAAAACTCTCTCTTTCGAAAATTTTGTATTTATTTGTGTGTTTTAAATTAGAGAAAGACCAGTATTTTAAATGTTTTTTAAAGAATAATTTGCATAATTCTTCAATAACATTTCTTGTATTGTATAAATTTACTGCCTCACCTAAAATCCATCCGTGGTTTGTTTTCAACCCAGCTCGAAGTTTAATATCCGTGGCTCGCATATCGGTAAATATGTTCACTTTTGCGTTAAGTATAATCATTACAAGTGCTCTTTGTCTTTCAAATAAATAACAAAAGTTACACACATTTAATTCTGTATAACGTAAGCGTTCATAAATTCATAATCAGTCGCTGGTAAACGCACATAAAAATCTCAAAATCACATCATATTTAAGACGTCATTCATGCACTATTCGAAAAGTAAGTACCTAGCTTAACGGAGTAATAATGCATGTCTTTTTTATCTGTTAAAGCGTAATTAATTGAAATTTTAGGTAAAGAAACCTCAAATTGTCAAAATGAAATGGCTTACTGTACTCAAAGTACACACAATTACAGCAATTAAAAGTGTTCAGTTGGTAAGGAACTTCGATCAGTTTAGGAATACAATTATAGGCAAACTCCTGGCCTTGAGAAAGCGTATTTTGAAGGCAAAAACATTATTCATGTATGAAGTAACTGCGGTATTGCAAAAACTTTTCCAGCCCTAAAAAAAGCCGTAACTGGACTTGTGTAAAATTACGATAATTTTTCCGTTTGCTTGATATCGCCATGCCGGCTGACAGACCTGACACGTCACTCGCCTTTTGCACTGTCAGGCTGATGACTGAGCAAACAGCAAAGCGTTCGCCATTCTTTATCCAAGGTCTTTTAAAGAAATTTTCCAGGATTATAGCATTTTGTGAGTTACAAGTTACACCCATAGTTGGTTTTTGTAATAGTTCTACGCATTTTTTCATCTTGAGCCTCATCTCCTGCCCACGTTACGACTTTTCCCCTTATTCATTGCTAAAGGTCGAATTTTCTAGTTAGTAAAGGCCTATAGTGTTTATGTTTTAAACATCATAATAATAAAAGTACGTGGCTTGCTGATATTTGACCTCTCTTCTCGTCTTCAACTCGATATCTCTAGAGTTAAACACTGGAAGAGGAATTCCACATCTTGGGATTCTTTATATATCAACTGAGTTGTTAATAAGAGAATAACATGACTTTTTGAGGGAATATTGTTTATTTGCGCCCGCGTAGTGTCATTTGCAGCCCGAGCGCGAAGCTACAAGGGTGCAAATAAACAAAATCACAGCACGAAGCTACAAGGGCGCAAATAAACAATATTCCCGAAAAAAGTCATGTCATTATCATTATTATCAATAAACAAGGCCAAATGATATCAAGAATGCGAGTTTTAATAATACAAGCTAAGTGAATGACGAATTCAAAGTCACTTCAAATCATCATGTAAGTGTTGATTGAACAAGCTATTAAAGAATCAACTCAGTCCAGTGAACTTATTGAAAATTACCGAAAAAATGCTTAAAATCGTCTATAAATAATAGGCATATCACAAAGTTAACCTTAAAATGATCCATCGGATGATGAAGCAAGAACCAATCAGCTGTAGGGGTGATAAT